CAGGGCCTCTGAGACCCTCTGCCCTGCTCAGAGTGCAGGGTGGTGGCCTCATCAGCCCTTCCTTCCCAGCATGGGCCCGCAGGTCTCTTCCATACTGCACTGTGATGGAAGTACTTCCCAAAAGACAGTTTCTAGGCAGCAGAAGGAATCAGAAGAAAGGTAGGGTTTGAGATTCAGACACATATACTTGTTTTGAGGGAAAGGTCCAGACAGGGAGTATAGGTTTGTTTGTTTTTTTTTGTTTTGTTTTGTTTTTGTGTGTGTGTTTGTTTTGTTTTTGAGTGAGGAAGGAGATGAAGGAACAGCCATCCTGGCCTGGAAGGGTCTGAGCAGTGCATGGGGTTTGACAGACATAATCTTGATGCTCCAAATCTAACTGGGGCACTACGGTGGATGCAACTTGTAGACCCCGTTGCCAGGGAGTAGGCAGGAGCAGGTCACCTAGACTTCTGTAGTGGCTGCCCCATGATGGGGTTGGCCACAGGTGTGGGAAGCAGCCGGGGTGGGGCTGTCCAGGTGAGGTGGATGAGCACCCCACCCTCACCTTTTCATCTCATTTGGATAGGGTCTGAGAATGTCACTCACTCAGTGGCCCCCAGTGGTCTGTGTCTGGAGCTCCTATGCCTTGCTCTCCCAGCAGTGCCAACCCTGCCCTGGGCCCTGGGGTTTCTTGTGCCCTGTCCTAGCAACATGGAGCTTGTGATTGGTGCATTGGGCCTTGGGAGGGCCCTGAGGCTGTGTTTCTGCCAAGCCCATTTCCCACTTTCTCCCAGGGGCTTTATTTCCTCCAGTGGACACAGTTCTTCATCCAGACAACTCACAGGCTGCCCTGAGGCAACACAGCACATGCGTGCACATAACACAGGAGCTCTCCTGGACCCTGTCAGGGTTCTAACTGACCAGGAGCAGTCACTGTAAAGGTCTAGAAAGACAGGGACATTAGCATAGGGACCACCAGTCAAGCCAGGACACCTAAGCCTGTGAGAGGAGTCAGTGACTGTAGCACCAATGACCACAAGGAAGAAAATGGCCAAAATAAGTAAAGTAAGTTATTGAGTTAAAATGGACTAAGGTAAAAGTAATGAAAATAAATGAAATTTTAGAAAAAGCAATGCAAGGAAAGGGGAAGAAAAGATTCAACAGTGTTAAATAAATGAAGGAAAAAGGAAAGAATCCTAGGATGTGAGAGAAACTGACAGGAGAAAAATCTAATTACACGATAAAGAAGCGGTATGTAAAGCTAGATTCACATAAGCAGGGAATAAAAACGAAAGCATAAGAACTCCCTGGGAACTCTCAGCTTCGTCTCATGTATATTTAAAGTTGATGTGCCCCATGTCTGCCGCTGGGATGGAACCCGTGTCAGAACGGAGCCGTCCATTCCTCTTCCGCTGTGTCTTGGGACCTATGCTCTTTGGCATCATCAGACTTTGCAGTTGTGAGGCTTTAACTTTGTGGCACCCAGTGGCTGAGAACTGTCGCATCTTCAGGGCGGAGAGAACCATCTTCCGAGTCTTCTTCCGGGGTCCAGTTGGGTTTAGAAGTTTCCCCAGCTGTCCAAGGTTTACGGTGTTCCTGTCCTCAGAAGTGGCCCCATGAGGCTGGCCAGCATCCTGCCCTGAGTTCTTTATTAGAAATAATTCTTTTTACCTTTCTGAATATTTTACCTTACTGAATCACGTGGGAATTTTTTGTTAGGATTTGCTGGGTGTATTTTCCTTAATTTACTTTCAACATTTTTATTCTTTATACTTTAAAACCAAGGCTTGACAAACTGTTCAACGAATGTTCATTAAGTAACTATATTAAAGTCCCGGGTTCTGTCTTGGCTCTGTCACAAATACTTGGCTCTGCTATAGGAACATCAGCCAGTAGAAGGCAACCTGTGGACAAGGAGCCAATACAACTTTATTACAAAACAGGCAAAGGGCAAAATTAGCCTAATGATAACACAAACACACAATCTCTGTTTTTAATTGGAGAGTCTAATCTATTTATTTTTATTGTAATTGCTGATGTATTTCAATTTACTTCTGATTTCCTTTCTTATTCCTTTCTTACTCCCTTCAAAAGAATTACATTTTAGTATATGTGTGTTTGTGCGCATGTGCACATGTGTGCGTATGTGCGTGTGCACATGTGTTCCTGTTTGCATGCATGTGTGTGTGCTTGTGTGTGTGTATCTGTGTGTGTACATGTGTGTGTATGTGTACATAAGCTATGACACATATGTGTAGGTCAGAGGATAGCTTACAGGAGTTGGTTCTCTTCACCATGCGAATCCTAGGGATTTAAGTTAGGCTTGGTGGCCTCCAGACTTCCTGTACCCTGTAGACTTCCTGTACAGCCCTTCCCACTTGCATTTACATTGATACCATTTTTTTTCTAACTTTCATTTCCTTCCTTGGGTCATGGATCTCATGGCGTTCATTTCTCCTGATGGGCTGTAAGATTTCAGCTGGAGCCTTTGTGTGGCCTGGGCTGATGCCTCTCTGTTCTCCTTGTAGAGAAGATCAGAATGCTTCCATTTACCTGCCGTGTTTATCCAGGGCTCTAACTTTTCCCAACTGTTGCCAACTTCTAAGGCCTCCATTCCTGTGGGCCCCTGAACTCCTCCTGAGTGCTGTTTCCTCAATATCTCGACAGCAGTCTGTCGAGTTTCCTTTGGCATATCTGTCACTGGCAGAGGCCTTTTCTCTCTGCTTGTGGAAGTGAGAGTTTCTGGGAGCCCAGTCCATGTCCTGGCGACCACGCATTGTTCTTGAAGTGCTGCCCACTCTGCTTGCTCCTGCTGCTGCCAGCTCTGTCCCTGTCCTCTGTGGCAAGTGTGCCCCTGATGGCTTCGAGCACCCTTTTCTCCACAGTGTTCTCTCTACAGTTCCCTCACGTGGATTCCAGTTTCTCTCCTTGTATCGTCCTTGGCCGGAAGCCATTTCTGATGGTGCCCGTCTACAGACAGTGAAGTGCCGATCTCTATTATTCCACTATGGAAGGACACCATCATTTCCTCAGGGTGGGATGGCTTCTCCTCAGCAGTTAGAGCATGTGACTCTCACCAGATGTCTGATGTAATCCTTGCCTTTGCTTCTGTGTTGATGGCATGTGGTTTAATCTGTGTGTTCACATCTTCCTCATTACTGTTGGGTTTTGACAGTCACATATTAAACAAGGTGCATCCAACCAAGTTTTATTCTTTGTTTTGAAAAAGATGCACCCTATTTGGGGTGTTGAGGAAGATACATTCTATTTGGGGTGTTGAGGAAGCTGCATCCTATTTGGGGTATTGTGGCATGCTGCCCTCTAAGGATAACACACAGTTGCCATCCTGGAACCAGAGCAGCTGGGATTGCCTGCGCGAGAGCCTTACAAGCTTGGGTCAGTTAACATTCCCTGTGGAACATGGGAGGACTCAGGATGGTGCAGGAAACTCCTCCCCTCCCTGAGGCTGTGTAAGCAGTTAGCTACTGCTAAGAGTAGACTCTTCAGTAGTGTACTGCCTGTTGGTTGCCCATGCTTCTTCAGACAGCCCCAGTAAACTCACTGGTTCACTGAGCTGGACTGGGAAGATAATTTCTTTGACTTGTCATCAGGGTCCTGCCTAAGGAGAGGAGACCTTCATATCTCCTAGGAAAAGTCACACAGGAGGGTTTCTCTGTGTTTTATGTGGTTTTATTTCTGTGGAGCTTTTCTTAGATGTTACTTCTTTGTCTGTTTCTTCTGTCTAGTTCCTCCTCTCCTCTCCTCTCCTCTCCTCTCCTCTCCTCTTCTCTCCTCTCCTCTCTTTTCCTCTCCTCTCCCCGTCTCCCTCCCCCTTCTGTCCCTCTCCTTTTCTCCCTTCCTGTGTCCCCTCCTTCCTCCACACCAGCTCTGCTCCTCTCTTCCTTGCCCTCCCTCTCTCCACCCCACCTCTCCTCTCCTCTTTCTTTCCATGAAACTACTTATTATCAGGGTTATTAAAGGTCAGAGCCTGGCCCTTGTAGGCCCAATAATTCAGATGTGGCTGCCATTCTTGATGAGCCAATGAAACAAACAAATAATAGTATAAATCAGAGAAAAAGGAGACTGATTCAATGTGGCCACACTGGAAAGAAAGACAGAGAGATCCAATGACTCCCCCAAGTCCATTTTCCAGGTCCTTATATGAGGGTATGGTTTAGATACAAGACAAGGGGTCCATATAATTAAGAGTCCTGCTCACTGTGGTACACCCTCATTATCTCAGCTTCAGCCATCTCAGAAGAGGGCGTGACCAGTTGTCTGCATGAGGTCTCTTCCTAGGAGACAAGTTCCCATGTGGCTGGCCCCAGGCTTCAGTCTTTTATTTCCTTGCGAGGAACTCCCAGGGAATTCTAGTTCCCTTGGGTATCTTGTTTCCATGGGACAGATAACCAGAGTGACACACGAATGAGTATCTCAGAATGGTCTCGTTCCTTCTGGGCATGGTAATTATACACTTTCATCCCCAGATGCCGATCTAGCATCCCAGAGTGCCTTGCGTTTTGTTTCCTTGTTCTTTTTCACCCTACATCAGAACCCTCATCTGGCCTCCACAGGCAATGCATTCATGTGGCACACAGACATGTATGTAGGCAGAACACTCATACACATAAAAGTAAATCTTTTCTAAAAAGTAGATAGACTCTTTCTTGGGAGGCAAAGGAAGGTGGATATCTGCGAGGTCAAGGTCAGCCTGGTGTGCATAGGGAGCTCCAGGGCAGCCAAGGCTATGCAGTGGGAACCTGGAAAGTATGTGGGGATGAAAGAGAGCACAAGTTGGATGGGAAAGCGATTTATTTGACACACAGGGCTGGAGAGGGACACTAAGAGTCAGGACATCCCTGGGGGTTGGGCTTGGGCAGGGAGAAACAGAATTCTTCTTCTGTACCCTCTCTCCACAGTTCCTGGGTGGGCTGGGCATGCGTCCGGCCTGCCTCACAGATGACAGGTGTTGGGAGGGACAGATATGTTCCATCTGGCACTAGCTGGTTTGGAGACACTGGTCAGCAGCAGGTGGGCGTGCTACAGGTGACAGGTCTGCAGACCAGGGTGGGGCAGGAGGGCTGGCAGCACCCGGATGACTGGCAGGAGGAGGTCACGCAGACAGGCCGGCAGCTCACGGGCACACACACAGAGGACTGGCAGGAGGGAGCCATGCACACAGTGGGTCTACAGCTCACGGGCACACAGCAGGCCACCTGACATCTCACAGGAATGCAGATAGCAGGCCTGCAGCTCAAGGGCACACAGGATGACTGGCAGGGGCTGGACACACAGCAGGAGGGCTGGCAGCCTGAGGAGCAGCTGGTGTGGCACATGGTGGCAGATGCTCGCTGGTCTGGAGGAGGGTGAGAATGTCTGGTGTTCCTTCCTGGGGTGGCTTTTATACCCAGCCCTATGTCCCAGCTACCCATAATGCAGCTGGTCTTCTGCGTGATGTTTCTGTCACTTGTTCCTCAGTGACTTGTTATTCCGGGGTGCGTCTTCCTGAGTTATGATCCTCATAAACAGCCTTGGCTTTGAGGTCAACTTCTCCTTCCACAAACAGGATGTTCTGGTTTGGCTTTCATGAATTTTGTGCTGCTGTTTCTTGGGCCATTGTTGAGCCCACAGCGGCGCTGGCTTGACTGAGGTCAGGGTCTGTTGTTTCTCGTCTCATACTATCAGTGAAGGCTTTTTATTACTTATTCTGACTTTCCATTGTAAAATGCAAACTTTACCATAGAGGTGGGGAACTAGGATCTAGGGGCTATATTTGGCCTCCTTCCTGTCTTTATAAATAAAATTTTATTGTCATCGGCATGCCCGTGTGTGTATATGTTGTTGGCTGTGTTCAGACCATAATGGCAGGTTACAAACAAGTTTAAGACGTTTGCCATCACCCCTTAACACAAAATTAGCTCCCTGTCTTAGTTTCTCTTCCGTTGCTGTGACAAAACACTCGGCAGAAGCAACTTAATAAAGAAAGGGTTTATTCGGGCTCATAGTTTCAGGTATAGTCCCTCCTGGTGGGGAAGCCAAGCGAGCAGGAGCAGGAAGCAGCTGGTCTGAGAAAGCAGAGAGGATGAATGTGGCTGCCGCCCAGCCGCTTTCTCCACTTACACAGCCCAGAGAATGGCGCCTCCAGCTGTGGACTGGTCTGCCCGGTCAGTTATTGTAGTCAAGACAAACCCTCCCAGGCATGCTTTTCATGATGCTAGATCCTGTCTCGTGGACAATACAACCCCACCCAACCCTATTGTGTAGCGATTGATGCAGAGGCTCCTTTGTCCCTTCGGCAAATACAACTGTGCAATCTCAGAAATCCTGGGAAACTTTTAGCCGTGGGAATGAGTGACTTCCGGCCCTGTTTCCTTGTACTGTGTCCCCACAACTGTTGCCAACCCCAGGACTGCAGAAGCCGTTGCTGTCTCCCAGCCCCACCGTGGCCCTGATATGCAGGCCTATATGCAGGGTGCTCCTTTCTGTCTGGAATTCTCTGTGCCTCTCCCGTCAGGCAGCCTGATGTATGCCGTGAGCTGCAGGGCCATTGTGTGCTCCTGTGACCTGCTACTCCTCAGATGCTGTCAGCTTTCCTACCCACTTTGCTCTGCAGCTCCTCCCCTGCAGTCATCTAGCCCGTTACTGTGCCTGGGACCTCTGTAGCCATCCCAGCTGAGAGATGGGAACAGCTGCATGACTACATTTCCACTGGGCTATCACTTACAGCTCCATGTAGACCTCCCAACAACAGCGAAGTCACAGCAACAAGGCCGCCAGGGCCACAAGAGCCTCAAGCAAAGCAGACGATTGCCCCCACACCCTTCAGCCCTTAACAGCCGGCAGCGAAAATATTATAAACATCTGTAGTAGGCATCCCGTGTCTGTGCTGTACTTCACTTCAGGTTTCCACACTGCTCAGGATTGTCCCTGGGATTCTTAAAGATTCAACAGAGGGACCCAGGGCCCAGACCAGCAGCAGGGTAACCACCGGAGAGTCATCTCTCTCTGATGTTCTGCCTTACACTGGGCTGTTGTATCCCAGTGGCTCTCATTTGGCCTACTTGCTCCTGTGAAGTGGTGTGTGTGTGTGTATGTGTGTGTGTGTGTGTGTGTGTGTGTGTTTGTATGCACATGTGTGCACAGTAGCATCTTGGGTCCCTGAAGGTGATTGCTGGTCTCTACTTAGCAGCAAGCTGTAGTCCTGAAGCCCCTTCAGTCTAAGAATTTAACTTGAACCCCCACCACTCCTACCCATCCTCCTCTTTGTAAAGATGAATGAAGAAAGCCTTTATTCAGGGCCGAGTAATAGCCCCTGTTCCTACACCCTATGTCTGTGTCCTCACAGGGCAGGGAGACTTCGCAGAGGGGCAGTGTCCATGGGGTTTGCAGAGGCCTGGTGTCACCACGGGGATAACATCTGAGTGAGGCAGGGGGATGGCTGGAGCAGGTGGCAGGACACCGAGGGACTGACTCTGCACAGCAGGTGTAGGTGGGAATTGAAGTTGAAGAGACCCCCACCACCATTCTCCCCTGGAGCCTCCAGATGAGGCCTTGCCTATGCCTGCACTTAACTACCCAGGGTCCTCCTTGCCCCTTTGGTTCTACTCTCTCTCAACAAGAGTCAGTGGGGGAGGGTCACACTCTGGCAGTCTGTCTAGTCCTTTTCATGCTGTCCCTTAAAGAGGCCATCCTGGTCTACAGAGCAAGTTCCAGCCAGGGCTACACAGAGAAACTTGTCTCAGGGAGAAGGAGAGGAGAAGGAAGAGGGGGGAGGGGAGGGGAAGGGGCAAGAGAGAGAGAGAGAGAGAGAGAGAGAGAGAGAGAGAGAGAGAGGCCTGATGGCCATTTGGCTGGATCGTCTCTAAGGGCTGTGTGCTGAAGGCATGTGTGTGGTCCCAGCCTGTGGTACCACTGGGAGCTGGTACAGTCTTTAGACTAATGGGCCTAATAGGAGAACATCGGGCCATTGGGGATGTCCCTTGAAGTGGCCTGGACACCGCTCCTTCCTCTCTCACTGGTTTCTCATTCTCACAGGCCTTGCCATAGGCCCCGAAGCAACGATAAGATCACAGAGACGGATCACAGATGAAACCGTGAGCCCAAGCCAACCTTTCCTGTCTCTATACTGATTCCCTCAGGCATTTTATCACACACCAGAAAGCTGGGCTGTGCAGCCACAAGGTCTTTCTCCCTGTACCCAGGGGATGATCATTCTCTTCGGAGTATTTGAATAACCAAGTGATGGCTGCGAGATGTGAAGAGACCCAGCAAGCAGGAACAATGTGACTTCAAATTTAGAATTTAGCCCCGCCCGTATAGCCAGACTTTCTCTGGACTGCCAGCTCCTGAATAACGACATGGAGACTTTTTATTAATTATGAAAGGTAAACCTTAGCTTAGGCTTGTTCCCAACTCGCTCTTATAACTCAAATTAACCCATTTATATTAATCAACATTCTGCCACATGACTCATTTCCTCTCCTTGGTACCATATGTCCGACTTCCTCTGAGTCTGGGTGGTAAATCTTCCCGCCTTGGATTCTTTCCCAGAGTTTCTATCTCTGCTGGGAAGTCCCGCCTATCCTCTCCTGCCTAGCTATTGGTCATTCAACTGTTTATTAAACCAATCAGAAGGTGCCTTAGGCAGGTGAGGAAGGACAGAGATACACTTTTGCACAGTGTACAAAAAGATTATCCTAACGCCACCGTGTTCAGAGATCCTTCCCTTGGGTTCTACTCAACTCCACTTGGGTGGAGGAGCTCAGCTGGGGTAGGATGGAACTTGTCTTCATAGCTTGTGGAGGAGTCTTCTCCTGTTGCTGAATTTCCTTGCTGATACGAATGTTGCTCACTCAACTCTCCAATGTTAGTGGTCCTCAGGGTGCCCCACCTTGTCCTCCTCACCATCCTGGGGTGACTCATAATGTCTTTTTGCCTTGTCCCTTCTCAGCCAGGCCTTAAACTCAGATGTGACCAGTGTTGCCACAGTAGGGACTGATCCTCAAGCTCTCATGATCTGAGGCAGGCATGATGGGAACCTCTTATCATGGTCTCCTGATGGAAGCCCTTGGCCCCTCCGCGTGTGTTCTTGGGCTGCAGCCATATCGAGAGACTTCTGAACAGACACACGTGCCTCAGGTTCTGTCCCAGTGTCCTGACTTGGTATAGGAGACTCTTCCTGGACTTACAGGGAAAGGCACCCAGCGCCGCGGTAGCCTGGATATGAAGACCCAGAACATTCCAGAAAATGCACACAGCCAGCTCATGCGTCCTGATATGAACACTTTATTGAACACAGCAGTGAACCTGTCACCTCTGGTATAAGTACACGGTCAAGAGAACGGGCTCCTGGGGCTGCTTTCTATGTCACAGAGGGATTTGTGGGGGGAAGGGCTGGGTGGCACCCTCAAACCCAATCGGGCAGCAGCTATGTAGCCCCCAATCCATAGTGAGACGACTCTGGTGGCCCCAGGTGACTTCTAGGGGCTCCCGAGAGTGGAGAATTGCTTAAGAATAAAGATGTAGCCCGTAAAGGCAGAGAGATCCAGCTTCTCAGCAGCTGGACTTCTGGCCAGAGGAGAGACCACAGCAGGCCTGGCTGGAGCAGGCAGGGCGGCAGATCAGGGACATGCTGGAGCAGGGCTTGCAGCAGCTGGGCTGGCAGGACAAGGCACAGCAGGAGGAGCTGGGCACACAGCAGGCGGGTCTGCACACAGGGCGGCAGATCAGGGACACACTGGAGCAGGGCTTGCAGCAGACAGGCTTGCAGCAGACAGGCACACAGCAGGATGGCTGGCAGCATGAGGAGGATCCAGAGCAGATGGGTGTGCAGCAGACAGGCTTACAGAACAGGGTCATGCAACAAGGTGAGGAGGTGCAGCATGAGGGCTGGCAGCTAGACTGCTGGCAGCATGAGGGTGTGCAACAGCTGCTGCAGGCAGATTGGCAGCAGGGGCTGGACCCACAGCTCACTGGGGTGCAGATGAGGGTCAGGCAGGGGGATGGGGCACAGCAGTTGGGGACACAGCAGCTTGGAACACAGCAGCTAGGCTGGCAGCAGCTGGACTGGCAACAGCTGGGGACACAGCAAATGGGGGCACAGCAGATGGGGGCACAGCAGCTGGGCTGGCAGCAGCTGGGGGCACAGCAGCTAGGCTCACAGCAGCTCTCTGGACAGTCGTCCACCTGCCAGGAGGAGTCAGTACAAGAATCACAGGAACCAGGCAGGCAGACCCGGCTGTCGTAGCTCAGGTCGCTGGAGCAGACAGACATGGTGGAGGTGGCCATGGCGGGCAGGTCTGGTAAGAGCTGTGTGAGTGTGTGAGTGTGTGTGTGTGTGTGAGGGGTTGCTCTCAGCTTTTATAGCACTCTGGGCTGGTGTTGTCCAGGTGAGGACCTTGCTTCCCTTCCTGCTTACTGGCTGGCTGGAGCCCCCTCATTAGCGGTGGTCATCGGAGGTGTGCACACCTCACCTGTGTTTGTGTTTGTTTTGACTCAGCTGAAGGCCTGGGAATCATTTGAGGCCACTTCTCCTGAGAGATTTTGTGAGGTGAGCAGGGCTCCATGGCAACAGGGACTGGGGTTGTCATCCTATGCCTGAGTGACTGGGACCTATCATTATTGTTGTTGTTTTAAACATTTCAAAAACATAGACAAAATAAAAACATACATATCTTACATAATACAACTCACCCGGGGGCTTAATGACAGCTCCCCTACCCTCTCCAAATGTTAGCAAGATGCAAGTCGTATACAACACAGTTGATTCAGGGGCTTGTTGACAGGAGACTGTGTGTGTATTGTGAGGGAGACTGCTCGGGCAGGGTGGCATCTTCTCTATGCAGTGCCTAGTCCTCCTTCTGAGACTCTCAGCATTTCCAGGGAGACGGTGAGCTTTTTCTGTTTTTGTTTTGCTGTGGTTCCAAGACCAGAGACTCCACATCCTGCAGTGGCCACAGTTCAGAAACTCCTGGCCTGCCCACCCGTGCCGGGATAGTCTGGCTGGGTATAGAATTCTGAGCTTGGAACTGGGTGGTGGTGGAACATGCCTTTAATCCCAGCACTCGGGAGGCAGAGGCAGGTGGATCTCTGTGAGTTCGAGGCCAGCCTGGTCTACAGAGTGAGTTTCAGGACAGTCAGGGCTACACAAAGAAACCCTGTCTCAAAAAACAAAATAACCAGTCAAACAAACCAAAAGTCTGGGTTTGGCCCAGTGTTCCTCCAAGCCCAGGTAACAATGCCTGTTAGCCTGGTGCCTGTGTCCTTGAGCAGAAACACCTAGAGTTCCCTGACTTTCAACTTCTGTTGTTTTCTTTCTTCCTTCTTATTCTAGGATGCCAATATCTATTTCCAGGCTGTGTGTTGCTTTGCTGTGTGTTGAGGCTTGCAGTGTGACATCTCATCTCGGGATTATCCTAAAACCCATTTCTCCTTTCCCGGCTTTTCCTTTGGCGACTCTGGACACCGTTCCTTCTGGTGTGAGTCTTCAGTGTGTCTTGATCCTCCCATTTTCCTCATTTTTATCCTTCATACTCTTTGCAAGATCATCCTGGTTTTATTTCCATGCACTTTCTGTCACGGGAGTCTGTTCATCCTTATGCTGAGTTACCAATGTTTAATGTCTTAGAACCATTTTCTCTTCAATGTCACAGAGGCATGGTTTTGTCTTGGAATGCAAATGTAATGTCCCCATGACTCCAGCAAGTCCGCTTGAGTTTCCAAGCTCTCTCTCCTCTGATCCCGGACTGCTAGACCCCACCCAGGATGTGTTTATCAGTTTCCAGATTGGACCACACTAGGCCATTTAACGCTTGTGCTTTGGGTCCATCCATTGTGAGCTGACAGTGTAGACTTTGAACGGTGGAGAGATGGGGCTTTGTGTGCCTGGGTTATTTCACTGTGTGGAGTGTCCTCTAGATTCCCCTGTTGTCACCAATGCTGGGATCTCCTTCTTGTTAAAGACTGAGCCCATCCGCCTGATGCTCCACCACTTGGCTGTGGTGGCTGAGGGTGTGTGTTTGGGGGTGGTGGGTATAGGTGTCTCCTCCACGTGTCTATGAATGGACTCTGGGCTACAGGGCGACCTGAAGTTTTTAAAGAGCGTCCACAATGGTTGGTACAATGGAAAATACTGACATTTTACTGAGTCTCTTACCTTCTATCATGTTCTCTCCATCTATCCATCTGTCCCTCTGTCTGTCCCCTCTGCCTGCTTCTCCCCTCTGATTTTAGCACCAGGGATCCAGCAGTCTTACTGGATCAATTCAGAAACCCCATGGCTTCACTCCAGCCCCAGAATGTTATAAATGTTGTGGTAAAGGTCTTCCTTTAAAACCACCTGAGCCCATGTCTGAAGAATCAGACCAAAATCTTCATTGTGTGAGTCCCATGCTGTCCTGGTGTACCTAACATTAAAACCTCCCCAACCCATGCGCTCACTCTTGATCCCATTTGATGTGTTTATTACATTATATTTGCTCTAAAGTTCCCTTGGTCCATTTAGAAGACCAGCTAGCTTATCTCACTGTTATTTATTTATGTATGATTTTGGGGTTGGGAGTATCAGGGTCTCTATAGTCCAGGCTGGCCTCTCAAGTAGGGTCCTCTTATCACTGCCTCCACTTGAATTCCTTCCTCCTTCAAAATTTGTTTCTAAAGTGTCTGCGCGGCTCCTTGAGTTAGCGCTTTCATTCCGCAGCTTCTCTGGTATGGTTTGGTGTTGCGATTGTCTGTGCCCTTCCACCTGTGGCACTTGCTGTTCCCAGCAGTGTAAGCTTCTGGCAGTCTGTGTGATCCGGTTCAGCTTTATCCCCCTCCTGCTTAAGGCGCTGTACTCATGTAGCATCTCACTGTGAAGGTTGACCTCGAACTCTCCCATCCTGGCTCCCCAAGACTGGGGTTTCGGGTGAAAACTACCCCACCAGCCACTCTTTATGAAAAAAATTGGGCACCAAATGTAGGCGCATTAAAGAGTTCCACAATAGCCTGGAATGAAGTTTATTTATTTGGGGATCAAACTCACATAAGAGTAGTGACTAGCCATATGTAGTCCTCTGTGTCCACTGGAAGCTGGGAACCAAACCCAGCAGAAAAAGGCTTTTCATCTGCGCTTTTAGTACCTCCGACCATGCCCCCAATGGGCTGGTATCTAAAAGGCTATTGGCTGAAAGAGTTCCCTTAACACATGTGGTCGCTGCCAGGTAGACAGAGTTACTGTGACTTCAATGAGTCATGTCTGCTCTCTCCTGTATTTCAATGTCTGAGGCCCCCATGGTAGAACTGGTCATCCAATAGCTGTGCAGAGAGGGTTGGCCTTCCTTCTATGGGGTGGCTGGGCATTCCCTCAGGTTGCTGGGAGCAGGAGGGGTGGGGGTTGTACCTGCAACATTTTCTTTTTGAGACAATAGCTCCCGTAGCCCAGGCTGGCCTCACTATATAGCCAAGGTTTGCCACAAACTCCTGATCCTTTTGCTTCCACATCCCAGAAGTGTGTCACTGCCTTGGGCTTGTGACTGGATTGCTCTTCTGGTGACCCCACCTCTTTCTAGACCCTTGTACCACTTCTGTGGCCAGGCCACATCTCCACAGCACCAGGAGACTGTCCTCAGCTCTGGTCTCACACATCCCTTCAACTTCAGGAAGCTTCTCATCTTACAGGCTGTGTGTTCCCGTCCATTCCCAACTGCCATCCCTAATATCTGATTCTGGCTCCTGCCTTCCCCACCTGGGTTTCCAGCTGTCCCGATCTGCATCTCAGCAGCAACCTCCCGCATGCGCCCTTCACGTCAGCTGCATAGCACCCTCTGTCCGCCATGCACCCTGTTGGCAAGACCCCCACCTACAGACCTCTAGGTGTCGTCCCCCTCCCTCATACCTTTCCCTTTATCCCTGCCCATCCTTATTCTCCAGGATAAAAACCTGCTCTTGGTCCATGACCCCGTGTCTACCTGTTTCTCTTTCCAGAGTCTAAAAACTAGAAAATGAAAAATTGCAGAAATAAACAATGAAGGCTTTTAATATTATTTTGATTATGGCACATTGTTGTAGCTGTTCATGTTTATACAGTTAATCGTCTGTGTCTAGCTTCCTTGGAGGTGGCTGGGGGGCTGGAGGACCCTCAGGCTGGTGCTCAGCCTCGTCCAAGGCTTCAGGCACCTGCTGTCCTGGCTCTAGTGTTTCCCTGCGCTGCTTGTTGCCATCAGATTGGCTGCGCTTCTTTCTGCTCTGACTATGGCCAAGTCTCTCACTGGCAATAGGTGTGTGGCAAGGGTCCCATACACTTGGTCACTCTTCTGAAGTGACCCCAGTGGGTCACTGAGACTCAGTGGGAGGTGGCTTGTCTGTTCCTTGCTGGGCTAGGGGCAACATCCTTCTTGGTTGCTCTTCTTCAGAACAGGCACAGCCAGCCGAAGATCCCAGGTACCCACAGCCATCCTTCGTGCCCTGAACCTGGCTTTGCTGCCCTGTTTCCATCAGGCTCAACTTCAGGTTAACCCTCAGCCGGAAGGGTCTGTGGCCATGGGTTCTATGCTCTCAGACAATGCCCTAGTTAAGGTGAAGAGACAGGGCTATCAGCGCTGGGACCTAATGATAGCCTGTGGCTCCTACTGGGTAGTTTTCCTGGGAAGTGGTTAGGGTACCATGGAGCCAAGGCTTGAAGGACAGGACCAAAGGTGTCAGAGCGTCCCCACAGCAGGTGGCTTGTCGTCTTGCTCACCCCAGACTCCTTGACCCTGAGTACTCTGTCATTCCCGACCCACCTCTGACACCTACTTCATGGTTTGGGTACAGAATGTCCCCACAAGTTCACGTGTTGAACTCCACAACGCTGTTTGGGGAGGTGGACCAAACATTAGGTAGCTGGCCTTATTGGAGGAAGTAGGCCATTGGGGGTTGGCCTTTCTAGGTTCTTCCCACCCCTCCTCCTCTCTGTTTCCTGTCAGCCATGAGGGGAGCGGTCTTGGCTCCATGCTTGGGTTGTATGGTGTTCTGTCTTATGGCAGACTCAGAATATCTCAGGGCGAGAGCTGGACCTTTTGAAGCCATGAGTCAAGAGTCCTTACCCCTCAGCAATCTATGCCTGGTATTTGTCTCAGCAATAAGCAACACCATTGGCTGCATCACACACTCCATCTGCCATGCACCCTGTTGGCCTGTGTGTCTGCTGTCTTTTTCTGGAAGTCCCTGGTCTTTATACTCCACACATGGCCTCATGTCATCTCATCAAGCACGAGCTTCGGAGGTGAACCGACTGGTTGGCTCCTCTACAGCTGTGTGATGGACAGCCCACACACATTGATTCACTCTGCTGCAGACGGATATTTGAATAATTTCCTGTCATCTGTTAGGGGTTGAGTGGACACTGCTCTAGATGGACGGATGTTCTCGTTTCCCGCAGGATGATGCCTGGGGCTGGGATGGCAGAGTTCCAGGCTCACCCTGTCATTAACAACTCTGGAAGGAAAGAACCTCATAGCAGACAGGATTCTGCTGGCTGTCACTCCAAGAGTCACTAGACAGGGGAGGCCCTGCATTTTGGATGTCAGCCTGCAGAGGTGGGAGTAGCAATCAGAGGTCACAGAGAGTCTCTTCCTGTCCTGCTTCTGTACCAGCCCCATGGCCATCAGAGTACCAAAGAGGGACAGACATATGTTGGGGGGTGTCCCCCAGTGAAGTTGAGCCTTACCTGTTGGCCACTCAACACCCACAGCAGGATGTATCTATCATGGCCTTTTTGGGACCTCTTATCTATGGCCACATGAATTCGCATCCCCAGGAAAGTGGAGAGGCTGTGTTATTTGGTGTCTGGTGCTGGGATGTCCCTGGTGGTTATCTCAGGTGGTCTTCTGAGTGAGGGAAGGGAGATGGCTCCCTGACCACAGGTGGCCTGTGGGTAAGGACCTGAGACTGGTGGCACAGCTGGTGGGGATGGTAGCTCCCGGGGCCACAGTCCACCATAGTGGGGATGATGTAGTCCTGGGGACACAGTCCATCACAGTGGGGATGATGTAGTCCTGGGGCCACAGTCCACCATAGTGGGGATGATGTAGTCCTGGGGACACAGTCCATCACAGTGGAGATGGTGTAGTCCTGGGGACACAGTCCATCATAGTGGAGATGATGTAGTCCTGGGGACACAGTCCATCACAGTGGGGATGGTGTAGTCCTGGGGACACAGTCCATCATAGTGGAGATGGTGTAGTCCTGGGGACACAGTCCACCATAGTGGGGATGATGTAGTCCTGGGGACACAGTCCATCACAGTGGAGATGGTGTAGTCCTGGGGACACAGTCCATCACAGTGGGGATGATGTACTTCCTGGGGACACAGTCTATCATAGTGGGGCTGTTGTAGTCCTAGGGACACAGTCTATCATGATGTAGTCCTGAGGACACAGTCCATCAGAGTGGGGATGGTGCAGTCCTGGGGACACAGTCCATCACAGTGGAGATGGTGTAGTCCTGGGGACACAGTCCATCACAGTGGAGATGGTGTAGTCCTGGGGACACAGTCCATCACAGTGGAGATGGTGTAGTCCTGGGGACATAGTCCATCACAGTGGGGATGATGTACTTCCTGGGGACACAGTCTATCATAGTGGGGCTGTTGTAGTCCTAGGGACACAGTCTATCATGATGTAGTCCTGAGGACACAGTCCATCAGAGTGGGGATGGTGCAGTCCTGGGGACACAGTCCATCGTAATGGGGATGGTGCAGTGGCAGGAGCAATAGGCAATTGGTTAGGTTCATCTGCAGAGAGAGAGAGAGAGAGATGCAGGGGCTCAGCTTGCTTTCTTCTTTTTATCCAGTCCAGGACCACAGTCCATAGAATGGCACCACCCATATTTAGGGTGGGTATTCCCACCTCAGTCAACCTAATTTAGAAATAGAAATTTCCCTCACAGTCATGGTGTTTTAGTCACTGTTCTACGCTGTGAAGAGACACCACAGCCAAGGCAACTTATAAAAGAAGGCATTTTACTGGTGGCTTGCTTACTGTTTCAGAGGGCAAGTCCATGACCATCATGACGGGGATGGGGGACGAGGTGGGGCAAGGCAGGCAGACATGGTGCTAGAATAATAGCTGAGAGCTTGTATCTCACTTCCCCAAGATTGGGCCTGACTTTGACTTTCGGAAACCTCAAAGCCTACCTCCAGCAACACACCTCCTCCAACAAGGCCACACCTCCTAATCCTTCCCAAACAGTTCCACCTCCTGGTGACAGAGCATTCAAATATATGAATCTGGAGGCATGTGGCTAGTCCTCTGTGGCCAAGGCAAAGCATAGAAGTAACTAGAGGAGTAGAGAAGCAGGCTATGGGGGACAGTACCCCAGATGAGGACAGGGGGTCAGCATCTGGGCTTCTGGCCTGAGAAGGGGACACCACATACACTGATAGATTGTTTCCAAGGTGATGCTAGATCTTGCCAGCTGGCAACATTAGTCCTCACACCCATACCCAGCATCCACTCGTGTGGTCTCTGCGCTTGGACAGGGTGGGATGTTGGGTCTGGCACACAGGACAGTAAAGAAGGACGTAGGGGGGAGCTGCTAAGAAGGGCTGCAGGGAACGTGTTGAAATCCAAGAGGGCTGGATTGATTGACAGGAGGCTCCCAGAAGACTGCAGGAGGCTGGCATTCTTGGGACCTCTCAGAGTCCGGGCAGGAGCTGGAGCCCTGGTTGAGATGTAGACCCTGGGGAAGTTAGAGCCGCAGAGAAAGCTGGAGGCAGGCTGAGCATTGCTGTAAAGGGTTGCCCCCCAGGGAAGACTGGGGGTGTGGCTTCCTGGTAGGAGGGTCATGCTCAAGGTGACCCCAGTGCTCAAGAGCAGCTGCAGGGCTGGGAAGGACAGGTATGGCTCAGGGGTCCATGGCTACCAGGTAGTCACTTTCCCCCCACATCCCTAGCTTCAGATACTAAGGAGCTACTCTGCGAAGAGCCAGTGTGTACCCTTGAGCTAGGTCCCACTTGCTGCATGAAGCCTGGCCCTTCGTGCCCAGCCACCCCATGCCACACACAAGACACCAGTCAGCAGGAGACAGCGGCAGATTTAAAGATTTATTTTTTATTTTAAGTATGTGTGCGTGCATGCATGCATATGTGTGTGTGTGCATGTGTGCGTGCGTGCGTGCGTGTGTGTGTGTGTGTGTGTGTGTGTGTGTGTAAATGAGCACAGGAGCCCACAGAAGCCAGAGGAGGGCAACAAATGTCATGCTGTGGAAAAGGAATTACAACTTACAATAGGCAGTTGTAAGTCACCCGTTGTGCACTGGGAACAGGACTCAGGTCCTTTGCAAAAGCATAAGCGCTCTTAATCACTGAACTCTCTCCCCAGGCCCAAAGGGCAAGCTGATCAGGACATATGCAATGAGAGCCCAGGGAAGGCAAGGACCGCTGGAGTGGGGACTAATCACGTGACGTGGGGCCTAAGGAGGCAGTGGGACTCCATCAAGGCACTTCCACCTTCCACTGGGGAAGGACTCGGGAACCAGCCATGCTCTGGATGGTCTTGGCTAATCTGTGGTCAAGCCTAGAGGGTGGGAATGGCTAGAGTAGTGCCAAAGCAGCCTATGCATGACAGTACCCCAGATGAGGACTCAGGCTCAGCAGCTGGACTTCTGGCCAGAGCAGAGGCCACAGCACGCTTGGCGGGAGCAGACAGGGCGGCAGATCAGGGACATGCTGGAGCAGGGCTTGCAGCAGCTGGGCTGGCAGGAGGAGGCACAACAGGAGCTGGGCACACAGCAGGCGGGTCTGCACACAGGGCGGCAGATCAGGGACATGCTGGAGCAGGGCTTGCAGCAGACAGGCACACAGCAGGATGGCTGGCAGCTAGACTGCTGGCAGCAGGAGGAAGATCCAGAGCAGATGGGTGTGCAGCAGACAGGCTTGCAGCAGACAGGCACACAGCAGGATGAGGGCTGGCAGCATGAGGAGGATCCAGAGCAGATGGGGGTACAGCAGATGGGTGTACAGCAGACAGGTTCACAACACAAAGGCTCGCAGCACAGAGGTTCACAGCAGGGCTGCTGGCAGGGAGAGGAGGTACAGCAAGAGGGCTCACAGCTAGACTGCTGGCAGCATGAAGAAGAATCAGCTTCACAGCAGACTGGCACACAACAGACAGGCTTGCAGCAGACAGGCACACAGCATGAAGGCTGGCAGCATGAGGGGGTACAGCAGCTGCTGCAGTCAGATTGGCAGCAGGGGCCGGATCCACAGCTCACTGGGGTGCAGATGAGGGTCAAGCAGGGAGCTGGGGCACAGCAGCTGGACTGGCAGCAGCTGGGGACACAGCAGCTGGGGGCGCAGCAGCTAGGGACACAGCAGCTGGGGGCACAGCAGCTGGGGGCACAGCAGCTGGGGACACAGCAGCTGGGGGCACAGCAGCTGGGCTGGCAGCAGCTGGGGGCACAGCAGCTGGGCTGGCAGCAGCTGGGGGCACAGCAGCTAGGCTCACAGCAGCTCTCTGGGCAGTCATCCACCTGCCAGGAGGAGTTGGTGCAAGCGTCAGAGCAGACGGACATGGTGGAGGCGGCCATGGTGGGTAGGCTGGGAGCTGGGAGTGTATGAGTGTGTTGTGTGAGTGTGTGTGAGTGGTGAGTGTGTGTGAGGTGCTCTGGGCTCTGGGCTTTTATCCCCCAGGTGTGTTTTGCTGCAGGAGGCTCTGCATCCTTCCCCTTCCTTGTTGTTCAGTCTGAAGGGTGCTCAGTCATAATCTCCTGTTGGGTTAGTTGCCCTAGGAATAGACCACACTGGAGGAAAAGCATGGCCTTCCTGGGCTGACCCTGTGCCCTCTACCTGTGGCCACCTGCCAGGGTGCTGGTGATGGCATTGAACACCAAGACTACTGGTTCTCCAGCCTGGTCCTCAGAGGGTGATCCAGCCTGCCTGTGACTGGGAGAGAAGTGATGGGCCCATCACAGAGTTGTCTTTCCTGCATCTGAGACCAGCACTGTGGCCAGGCCATCCGACCCACAGCCTCAGCATTCCAGTGCCCTCCATATCATCAGATGCCTGGGCTCGGAGGGCACTCACTGGGAGCCCCAGGTTCTCATGTCTCAGAATGCATATACAATAACACGGGGACAGAGCTCAGCAGTTCACAGGCCTGCCTGTGCCGAGTGGGGCTTCTATGCCACATAGTGTGGGTTTTCTGCCTCATATACCTGGTTAAGCCTCTCACACAAGCTCTGTCCCATCCCATGAACTTGTACACACAGCTTCACGTGTGACTGGTCTTATCAGCATCCAGGCCCAGAGATGTGTATGATAGCAATAGCCCCCGGAGCCCTCTGGATCTCTGACAGTGATCCTCAGTTTCATCTGGTCTCACCTGAGAACTCCCAGCCTCCCCTTTAACCTAGGTGGGGTTTTTCCTTTTTCTTTTTTTTTGTTGTTTTTTAAATATATCGATATTTTACTTTCATTTATGAAGGTATTAGATCCACTGGAACTGGAGTTACAGACAGTATGAGCTGCCATGTGGATGCTGGAATAGAACCCAGGTCCTCCGGAAGAGCAGTCAGTGCTCTTAACCTCTGAGGCATCTCTCCAGCTCCTTCACCTGGTTTTGAAGGACTCTGCATGGACCTTTCAAACCTCATTCCACTCCATTCCCCAGCCTCACCCTCAGCCTCTCTCTAGAGGTCAGAGATCAGGTACCGTCTCTTACACAGACAGCTAAAGACAACAACAGCAGAGGGCAGGGCTAGAAACACATTTGTGAAAATCAGAGCCATTACTGGGTGGCAGAGGCAGGAGGATCTCTGTGAGTCCGAGGCCCCCCTGGTCTGCAGAGTGAGTTCCAGGACAGCCAGAGCTACACAAAGGAACCCTGTCTGGAAACACCAAAAATAAATAAATAAAATAAATCAGAGCCATCGGGCTTCCAAACCTGGCCTCAGGGAGAACCATGGAGGTGTCCTGGCTGGCGTCTCATTGGAGCTGGCAAACATCATATTTCTGTATTTATCCTGTCACGGCTATGTTGAGGCTTTGGTCATTATGCTTTTCTCTTTTTGATCTATTTTGAGTTTGTCTTCGATGTGGCCTGACAGTGTAATGTCATCTTCAGCGTGCAACTCCTTGACCGTCCCAGGATGAAAGAGAGCACTCTTGGCTCCCTGCGTGCTCTGGCGCCATTGTGAGGAAGCAGGTGGTTCCGTGTAGTCTGCTGACCTACACACCCGTCATTGCACCAGCAGCACCGTTTTGACCCCAAGGTCCTTACTGTTGGTCACTGTGGTTTTTCTTGCCAAATGGCTTCGTCTATAACCTCCAGCGTGGTATGGCGTTGACGTGGCAGGAATGGACACTCTCACCTCATCCCTGCCTGGAAAGGGCTAGGGATGGGGCTTCATAGGTGTCCTGCCTTGCAGTGAGGGAGTTCTGTTAGATTTATTCTTTACTATGGAAGGGTGTTGGCTTTCCCTGAGCATCTTTTAGCATCATTGAGATGGCTGTGCAATCCCTCAGTCCCCTGCAATGTACTGCTATGTTTGGCTTCTCAGTTGAGTTTGCTTTGCATTTCTGACACTCAGCTGTGCCACACAAGCCTCTCCTCTGCTGCTGGGGTGGGTTTGATTATGTTTTGTGGGTCGGGAGCGGTGGTGGAAGAGGTCATAATTCTTTTCTAAGTTTACGGTCACTCATCTCTGAAGCTGTAGGCCCTGGGCTCTTCGTTCAGATGGTTTTTAATTAGTGACCATCTCAGGTCACTCCCCTTGGCCCTGGCCAGTTCATACATTTTAGATCCCAAGACACAGACACATGAAAATGAGAGGGATTGGGGAAGAGGCCCCTGGAATCGGTAACCACAGAGATTTGAGCAGCAAGCAGACTGCACATGCCGGAGAGTCAGAATTGGTAAGGAGATGGTGAGAGACATCAAACACCAATAGAGATCAATCTATAAGAACGCATGGTTGTCACCCTATAGACCTCAAGATAGATGAAGCTGAACGGGAAAGAACTCAACAGCTCTGGTACACAGACGACAGCTGGCAATGCCAGCCGGCCATTTTTAGTTAGTACATTTAAAAGAAGAAATAAAAGGAGAGGCAGGTAGAAGACGAGTCATGGCTCAGAGAGCGAGGCGTGCAGCCACACAGAACACACCAAGCAGCAGTGGCTCCCGCCACCCTGCAGCTCAGCTCACGCCTCAGGCCAAACAAAGTCTCAGTGAAACTTGAAATAGCTGAGATCATGTGAGGCACCATCTCTGACCAGGACAGGAAGAAAACAGAAATCAAAACAGAACTGGAGAGTTCACCTATCCATAGAAACAGAACACAGACTTGAACAGCGAAGGAGTCAGGGGAGAAGCTGGAAGGTACAAGAGGCAGATGGAAACAAAAACACAACAAATCCAAGCTGGGATGCGGCCAAAACAGCGCAAGAAGGAAACTTAGAGTCGGGAAGGAAGAGCCCAGACCAGTCATCCAGACTCACACCTCAGGGAACCAGGAAGAGGAAGTACAAATGGAACCCACAGGAAGTACAGGTGAGAGAGCAGGGACACTGAGACAGAAGACAGCAATGGGAAATGTGGCGACGGAGAAATAACTGGTCAGTGTTTAATCCAACTGAAGACAAAGGAGTTTTAAAGGAGTCAAACTACCCGTGGAAACAGGGTCATGGCTGCCAGTTTATGTCAACAAGATGGACTGGCAGAGAACCTGAACCGTGGCTGGTGACAAATGAGGGAACTTGGGTGTTGGGGGCAGATTCATGGATTTGGAGACCAGATGTTACAGACAGACCTCATTTCTTCCTGTGGCTTTGAATGCTGTTTTTGAGTCCCTTCTGTCATGAAAAAAACCCCAAAAAACAAAACAAAACAAAAAAACCCAAAAAAGCAATTATTGGAGAGCAGGTCTTTGAGCCATGGACTATGCAGACAGACCGTAATTTCTCCTTCCTCTTTTTCTTTTTCTTTTGTGTAATTGAGGGTTGAGCCTAGGCTCCTGCATGTACCCGGGAAGCATTCCATTACAGGATCAAGGCAGTTTCTTTATTCATTAACCAATAAAAGCCATACATAGACAGAAGGACCTCCCACACCAGTTGGTAATTTGTGGGGACTTGTTTTGTAGCTCTGATGTGGTCTGTTCCAGAGAAAGTTCCATGTGCTGAAGAAGAGAAAGTGTCTGGGGCAGCTGTTGGAACGCCCTGTGCCCTGAAGATGTCCGCCAGCACACACATCCTTTCCTCTGCTGTGCTGTTAGCTCAGGCATCCATTGACTTTTGCTGGCTCCACCCACTGCCAGGGATGCCTGTTGCATGGCACAGTGTCATTTTATCAGGTTCTATCTCACTTCCACTCAAATGAAGCTTGCTTTGTGAAGTTGGACAACCACCATTGGGTGCATATAGGTTAACAACCTTGTCTTCTTGATGAATTGACCCCTTGGTCATTATGCAGTTACATTTTGTCTCTTCTTTCTGCTCATATTAATTCTATTTTGTCAGAAATAGGCATAGACAGTCCTGCAGGTTTTCAAGTTCCATTTGCCCAGAAAGAAACTTTCATTTCTTCCTTTCACACTCTCTGCTTTTGTATCTTTCTGATGCTGTGAATTTCTTGTAGGCAGTGTGCTGTTGGATCTCTTTTTTCAATTCATTCAGCCGATCTGTCTTTTAATTAATACATTAAGACTGTTCACATTCAGAGTTCTTGATGAAGGTGTGGGCTTGCGCCTGCCATTTTGCTGCTTTTCTTCTAGTGGTTTTGTGTTCTTTGTTTCTTTTCTTCCTCTCTGATTCATCTTTGTCATTTGATAGTTTGCTGAATTGATAGTATTTGATTCTTTTCTATTTTTCTCCTGTGTTCTGAGGGAATTTAGACTTTCATATGCAACCCTGATGGTAGCTGTCTTCCTGTCATTTCAAGTGTAAGACTCTCTTGATCTCTCTTTGAAAGGTTGGTATCTTAGCGATGAAATCCATTCATTTTTGTTTATTGGGTAAGGTCTTTGCTGCTGCTTCTTTGATTCTGGGCTAATAATCTTGGTTGGCAGTTATTTCCTTCCAGGACTTCAATAAACCCTTTCACACTCTCTGGGATGCCAAATTTTGCTCAGAAGTCTGCAGTTGATCTGGGGTGGGGGGTGGTTACTGGCAAAGGAGACTTGGTGCTTCTCTCTTGCAGATTCTAAGAGCTTTTTGTCCTGCTGTTTGGCAGCCATATATAATATTGCTGTAGTAAGGGGTTTTTCCCGTCATGTCCATTTAAGGACCTTCTTCCCTTCCCTGGGTGTATCTTTCCTAAGATTTTTCCAGATGATATTATTGTGGTTTTTTTGTTTGTTTGTTTGCTTTGTGCTCAGAACTTTTCTCTCTTCCCCTTCAGGTACCAGTGATGGTGATTCTAATGATTGGTAGTGTCCAAAGATCTCCCATGCTCCTCCATTTCCCCCTTTATTTCTGTCTGAATGTGATATTTTGAAAGACCCATCTTCAAGCTCTGATGTACTTTGTTCTATTTGATGAAATCTGCCTGGGATCCTCGGACCCTGAGCTGTGGGCTGTGGCTGGAGCTGATGAAATCCCTTTAGCTGAGCTCCTACAATTGATACCATCTTTCTCGGCTGTGCACCTTGCAGGAGGCTGTGGTCAGCCTGTGACATGACCAAGGAACCTTGTAGATGACAGGAACTGTGCTGCCTTGTAGGTGACAGGAACTGTGCTGGCACCTAGATGAGGTATGAGTTCCACAGAGTGGCTGCCCTCAGTCCCAGAATTCTTGTAAAGCCACAGTGCTGAGTTTCTCCCAGGACAAGGACCCACTCTCCATTGCCCTCCATAGCATGACTTCCCTTGCCATGAAACCCTTTCAGTGGGTGTCTCAGAGTCACTCCATGGGCCCCAGAGATGGATCGCGCAGATCTAGACCCAGAAAAGGAGGAACCCTAACCCTAGTAACAGAGTGTGGAATAAGGGAGCTATGGGTTTGTGTAATGACTCCAAAACCCCCAGCTGGAGGTACGGGGGGAGGGTGGAAGGGGTTCAGGCTCCAGCATGAGGCCCCGGAGTGATAGTCACAACAGAAGTTGAGTGGGTCAGAGGAAGCTTTATTGAAGTAGGTCTACAATGGTACAACTGACCACAGAAGCAGGGTCATCCACAAAGGCAGGGATGGAAAGGGAGCAACCAGCACTCCTGGAACCTGCTGGAGGAGGAACACAATGGTCCTTCTAAGTGGTCTTCAAATGCTGTAAATCTTTCTTCTGTGCTGTGCCTGCATGAGTGCCAACCACAGACTGGTAGGGAGGTAGCTCCTGCTGCTTGCAGTGGGTCCTGGCTCTCAGCAGCTGGACTTCTGGCCTGAGGAGAGGCCACAGGAGGTCTGGCTGGAGCAGGCAGGACGGCAGATCAGGGACATGCTGGAGCAGGGCTTGCAGCAGCTGGGCTGGCAGGAGGAGGCACAGCAGGAGGAGCTGGGCACACAGCAGGCAGGTCTGCACACAGGGCGGCAGAGCAGGGACACGCTGGAGCAGGGCTTGCAGCAGACAGGCTTGCAGCAGACAGGCACACAGCAGGATGGCTGGCAGCATGAGGAGGATCCAGAGCAGATGGGTGTGCAGCAGACAGGCTTGCAGCACAGGGTCATGCAACAGGATGGCTGGCAAGGAGAACAGGTGCAGCAAGCTGGCTGGCAGCTAGACTGCTGGCAGCATGAGGAGCCAGAACAGATGGGTGTGCAGCAGACAGGCTTGCAGCAGACAGGCACACAGCAGGAAGATTGGCAGCAGGAGGGCTGGCAGCTAGACTGCTGGCAGCATGAGGAGGATCCAGAGCAGATGGGTGTACAGCAGACAGGCTTGCAGCAGACAGGCACACAGCAGGAAGATTGGCAGCATGAGGGTTCACAGGAGCTAGCACAGACAGATTGGCAGCAGGGACTGGACCCACAGCTCACTGGGGTGCAGATGAGGGTCAGGCAGGGGGATGGGGCACAGCAGCTGGGGACACAGCAGCTGGTCTGGCAGCAGCTAGGTTGGCAGCAGCTGGACTGGCAGCAGCTGGGGGCACAGCAGCTAGGCTCACAGCAGCTCTCTGGGCAGTCATCCACTTGCCAGGAGGAGTTGGTGCAAGCGTCAGAGCAGACGGACATGGTGGAGGCGGCCATGGTGAGGGTTGTGCTGGAAGTTGAGAGTGTTTTAGTGTGGGAGTGTGGGAGTGTGTGTGTGAGGTGCTGAGCCGCTGATCTTTTATCCTCCTCCAGCCTGTTTCCCCAGAGGCAGACGCACCTTTCTTCCTGTTGTGTGCATTGTAGGAAGTTCCTCTTCCTGACCAACCACAGCTTTGGACCTAGGTGGTCTGGGGAGCAGGGCTTGCTGGCAGCTCGAGGGCAAGAGATCCCTCTCTCAATTCAGAGAGTAGCTAGGTTGTAGCAGACTTGCCGTCAGCTTCTGTCCAGGTGGAGAGATTTTGAGAAGCTGAACCCAGTAGTGCAAAGATCCACCTTTGTCAGTGTGCAAGACGTCAGCCACTGGTGGAGGCCTGGTGGCCATACCCATCAGGGCCAGCTGGAGGCACCACCCTGTGCCAATGGTTGCTAGGGAGATGAAAAAGGAAGAGTCAGAGGAGAGTCATCATAAGATCTCATCAGAGGTCAGAGAGGCTGAGGCAGACAGGTCTCAAGGATGAGGCCAGCCCAGGCTACCTCATGAGACTCTGCCTCAAAACCTTAACAAAAACCAAGCAACAACAAAAACAAAACAAAACAAAACATCTCCTCCACCACCAGCAACAACAAGAAGCTCAGCAGAGACCAGTGTGTCTGTGAGCAACTGTCATCTCTGGTGTTTATTTCCTGATGTCAAATGACTCAGGTCAGAGAGCTCCGAGTGTCTGTGCCGAGCTGAGCACATCAGACCTGTTGTCACAGGGCCACACTGGCTGGCACACTGCCTGCCTCTCTTTGCTGATACTTGACAGTTTTCTAAGATGACTGGGTCATTTGCACCACTGGGGACATGGCCTGGGATGTGGCTCGGTGTATGTGTGTGTCTGACAGCATGTTCCAGAGGAGGCTCTGTCCATGACGGCCTTGCCTGAGATGGTCACCTGGTGTCACCAAGGGTGTTCATGATAAAGACTTTTGCAGTCTGAACTTGGAGGACTCTGCTGGTTTAAGTGAGGGTTGGGGACAGGACAGTCCCTGTCCTTGGTCAAAATCTGCCTTTCGGAAGGAGACTTAGAATTTGCTATAGGGACTTCTTGGGAATTCAGCATGCAGTTCTGTTCAGGGACATTGTAGTCCTGAGTGACAGAAAGCACTGAGCATGCTGGGGGGCTGAAAACCAAAATCACAGCAGTGAGTTCTCAGGGGTTCTCCATGCTAGAATGATAGGGGGCTGGACGTATCCGTCTCTGCCGGAAGTCTGTGTCGAGGGCAGGTGGCTGCCTCTTTCCGGTTGTCCTCACCTTTTCTAAGGTGGGAACCTGTGACAGGGAGGTGGTGCAGGGGCTGTAAAACTTTCTGTGGAATTTGTGCATTCTGACTAAGCTGGAGGTGGGAGGTTCCAAGGAGTCACTTATTCCACAGTAACACTTGGGGCAAGTTCCCAAGCATTTCTCTGGGAAATACACTAGGAGGTGACATTATTCATTTCTTTACAAATTGCTGATGTGTGTGTCCCCAGATGAGACATATGGCCTCACACACCTGCCTTTTATTTCAGGAGCATAGGTGCTTAGCCCTGGTTCTATCTGTGGGACACATGAGTGTGAGGCCCAGACATGCTGTGTCTTGGTGTCCTCCTTTCTTGTCTATTTCTATTGAGTAGATTTTCCGAAGTCATTGGATTGTGGGGAAAAGGGAGTCTGAGGTGACAAAAGGCCCATGTGTCCCAAGGCCATGACCCTAAGACGATGTCATCCAAGTCCAGCTCCTGAGGCCATGCTACCAATACCTACATCTTCATACTGAGTTCATACTCAAGTGTTTGACTTTATCAGATATTTTATTCCGGCCTATACAGTGGGCTTAGCCATTTTGTGCCTTTATTCACTTGTCCCTGATGCCCAGGGAATGATGCTTTGGCCCTTCACGCATCTGTAGATGCCCATGTGGCTACAGGGAAGAAGCTGTCCAGACCTGTTCTGCCAGGTTCTACAGCTTTCCATGTCTCTGGGCTCTCAGCCAAGACTCTCTCTACCAGCTGGTTCAGAGCCTTGCAGCCCAGACAAGCCAGGCTTGCCACCAGCCCTGATGTGCCAATTATACAAGTATTGGTGAACAGCAGAGAAAGGGGAGTTTTTTCTATTAGGTGCAGGCACACGGGGAAGAGGAAGAGAGGTCCCATGAAAACGCCACCCCAAAGTCCATCTTGGGTATTCTGACACTAGAGAAAAGTTTAAATAGAGGGTAGGAAGTATGTACAACCATCGGTCTGGGTCAAAGTGTGGTTTCGCCTGTCATCGTTGTCTGGACTTCAGTGGCTCCTGCAAGGTATTCCAGAGACAAACTCCCCTCTGGATGGGACCAAGCTCAACCTTTTCCTTCTTCCAGCCCCAGGAAATTCTAATTTCTTGGAGCCAGTTGTCTCAAGGGCACAAGTGTGCCACTTTAGGCTACGTTCAGTCCTGCCAAGCGACAACACACTCTTCCATTGTTTCATGAACATCACCCAGTCACTGAGAGGCCACATCCCAGTGTTTCTGGGTCACAACCATGTTGCTGCTCCAAGTACATGAGTTCTGTTGACCATGAACACTGGGATAAGAGCCCACAATCTTCTTAGGGTCTACCAGATTCTGTCCATGGGTGGGGGGCTAAAGGCATCCCCAGAACCTACAGCATGGACCTGACGGGGGCTAAGGCCACGGCTGGGGTATGGCCACTGGGCCAGTGAGTCTGGAGCTGTGACTGATAGATGCTGACATCTCTTGGCTCAGAAGGGTCACCCATGCCCTCCAGCCTGCTCAAAGCTGAGCCTTCTCTGCTCTCTCCTGCTCTGGTCTCCTCAGGTTGTCCTAGCATCCTGGCACAAAGCACAGTGCAATGTCAGGGGAGGCAGCCCTGTGCAGAAAAAAAGCTGGCAGCCAGGGTGGGCAGCCAGGCTGCACGGGGACACCTGATGAGGCTCCAGGGTGTATTAAGTCTCTTTGGAAACATCATCACAGGCACTCTCACCTCTCAGCACGGTTAAGGTGACAGCCAGGACCAATTATGACAGGTGTGTGCATCTTGGTGTGGCGTTGTCACACTGATGGAGCTGTTTAGGGAAGGTGGCCACACCCCAGGCCTGGGAAAGACAGGAGTCAGGGTACCCAACCTGAGTCCGCACATCCTGTTCCAATCTTGCCAGGGTGCAGATCTGCTCCAAGGACCAGGGAAAGCAGGCTTGTCATAGCAGGAGCCTTGGTGACAAGGGTGTTTCGGACAGCTAGTGGCAACTGGAGAAAGGACCTGTGTGTGCAAAGGGCCGCAGCAGCTCTGCCCTGTGTCTGGCATCCACAGGAAGCCTGGTGCAGACCATTTTGCCCTGATGGACAGCATAGGATGGCCCCAGACCAGGCTGCATCTGTAGGTGGCCAGTCCTGGGGAGTCCTGGACTCATGGATTTTTGCTTGAATCTGCCTAGAAAGAGGTCCTGAGATTCAGAAGAGAGGCCACAGGCCTTTATGACCACTGGGCAGAGTCACTCCGTTCCTGATAGGCCTGTGGTTAAGAAAGGCCATACTCCATGGAGGTTGGGTACCTGCACAGCATAAGGGATGTGATGGCCACTCTCTGAACCCTACTTGACTAGAAGACTGAGGTACACTCTGGGGGTGTCTGAGAGGACATATTGAGAGCAGATTCCCCAAGGTGAACATACCCTGACTGTGTGCAGTGCTATTCCATGGACTAGAGCAGGGAGGATGGAGGGGAGAAGGAAAGAATAAAACACAAATGTCTCTCTACTTCCTGAACACTGTGAAGAGAACTGCTTCATTTTCACATCCCCGAAGTGATGGATTAAAGCCCTGAGTGAGACCCTTCCTTCCTCCATTTCCTTTGTCTCTTGGATATTTTATCCCAAACATACGAAAAATATCAATCCAGAAGGGTGTTGGGTGGCCATGGCTTTATTGGTGGTGTGTGCTGCTGATAGCAGGGCAGGTGACCCAAAGCAGCATGGGGACAGGAAAGAGTGACAGTGACTCAGAGACTCCTGGAAGGTAGGAGAGGTCAGGTCAGCGTGGAGGACACATGGCGTTCCTCTTCTGGGGGACCTGCCATTTCAGAACAGGAGCAGACTGGAGAGGCCAAGGGGAGATACAGGGAGGGACCTGAGTCAGCTGGCACCAGAACAGGCCCATCAGCAGCTGGACTTCTGGCCTGAGGAGAGGCCACAGCAGGCTTGACTGGAGCAGGCAGGGCGGCAGATCAGGGACATGCTGGAGCAGGGCTTGCAGCAGCTGTACTGGCAGGAGGAGGCACAGCGGGAGGAGCTGGGCACACAGCAGGCGGGTCTGCACACAGGGCGGCAGAGCAGGGACACGCTGGAGCAAGGCTTGCAGCAGAGAGGCTTGCAGCAGACAGGCACACAGCAGGATGGCTGACAGCATGAGGGCTGGCAGCTAGACTGCTGGCAGCAGGAGGAGGATCCAGAACAGATGGGTGTGCAACAGACAGGCTTGCAGCAGACAGGCTTGCAGCACAGGGTCACACAGCAGGATGGCTGGCAGCAAGAGGAAAGTCCACAGCAGACAGGTGTACAACATACAGGTGTGCAGGAGAGAGGACCACAGCACGATGGCTGGCAGGGAGAGGAAGTGCAGCAAGCTGGCTGGCAACTAGACTGTTGGCAGCATGAGGGTGCGCAGCCACTGGTACAGGCAGATTGGCAGCAGGGACTGGACACACAGCTCACTGGGGTGCAGAGGAGGCAAGTGGTTGGGGCACAGCAGCTGGGGGCACAGCATGGGGGCTCACAGTAGCTCTCCTGGCAATTGTCCACCAGCCAGGAGGTGCCTGGACAGGTGCTGGGCGAGCAAACCCGGCTGCCGCAGCTCAGATTGCTAGAGCAGACAGATGTGGTGGACGCAGCGATCACGCAGGTCCTTGTGCAGCAGGTGCTGGCCATGGTCTCTGTGTGAGTGTGAGTGAGTGTGTTTGTGTGAGGTGCCTGCCCGGGGGTTTTTATGTGCCTCCCACGGATGTCTCCTCATGAGTGCGGGCACTTCTCCTTTCCTTGTTGTTCACCTTGTCTGCAGACAACACAGCCAGTTTAGGGCTGGGAGCATGGGTCACAGCTGAGCCAAGGCACATCCTTGTTCTGAGTGGCCATGTGACACAAGAGCTGGGTGGAGCTGGGGTCTGTGATTCCTTCTGCTGTCTCCCACCTTATCTTCAGGGACACAAGCTCCAGCAGGCCCAGTGTCATGCCGTCCCCACGCTACAGACCCCTCTGTTGCTGCAGGCAGTGACGACCCTCTCCTCCATCCTACGGACCCAGCATGCCTCTCTCCTCCCTCCCTCAGACCCAGGGTTCCTCTCCTCCATCCCACAGACCCAGAGTCCCTCTCCTCCCTCCCACAGACCCAGAGTCCCTCTCCTCCCTCCCACAGACCCAGAGACCCTCTCCTCCATCCCACAGACCCAGGGTTCCTCTCCTCTATCCCACACTCTTTGTTGTACAATTACTTATTAGAATAAACATTTCCTTCTGTGGAGAACAGCATTCTCTCTCACCGTCACCTCCTGGGAGCCACTTCTCCCATTCTGAAGGCAGCGTGCATTTAAACCAGGGCACCAACCATGTACCGTTTAGTGTTGCTTTATTTCACGTCTATTTCAGTGGTATCTTTGTTGAGTGTTTCTCTGTGGGCAGACAGGCTTCATCTCTGTATTCATGCGCATTTCGTCTTTGTTTTTCCCTTTTGGAGCTGATCACTTCCTCTGTTTCTGTTTTCCTGTACTTTGGTCGTCCCATACTGTCCCCTACGTGTCCCCAAGCTCTGAGAACACAACATTTCCAGTATTCTGAATTCACAGGTCAGTCTGAGCTGACCAGCCCTCAGACCCAACCCAACCCTCAACTTTCCTTATCTCTTAGGGTTATACCCATCTTAGCCCTTGGCCCCACCCTCTCAGCCCCTGCCTTTCCCTCAGTCCTTGCCCTCCCCAGCCCTTACCCCCACTCAGCCCTTGGCTCTGCCCCTTAGTTCTTGCCTCTACCTGAGCCTTTGGCCCTCCCTCAGCCCTTGGCTCTCCCTCAGCTTTGGGTTCCCCCCTCAACCCTTGTGCCCCCAGCCTTGGCCCCGCCAACCCTTGGCCCCCTCAGCACTGGTGTTCTGCTGCTTTCCTATGTCTTCCTTATTATTCTTTTTAAAAAATCTTTTCCTTCATTTTCTTCAGTGCTGGCCCCTTGCGATTTCTTTCTGGGTTGGTGTCCTTGTTTTGGTAGAGCACCTCCCTTGGAGACTTTCTGGGAATGGATGCAGGGGTTTTATTCTTGTAATCCACGACATGAACTATAATCCAGTTTTTCTAGCACCATTAGCTAAAATGGCCATCTTTCCCCAGAGATACTTTAGTACCATTTTTAGTTGTAGGCAGGGGGTCTAGAAGTCAACATTGGGTGTCTTTCTTTTGGACTTTAGTAGTGTTTTCTATTTCACTGGCCTATCTGTCTACTTTTGTGCTAACACCGAGCTGCTTTTGGCACACACACACACACAAACAACAACAATAACAACAAAAAAAACCCACATTTGTACCTGTTAAACAATTTAAATAAGTCAGGGTGACACCTCCAGCATTGATCTTTGTATTCAGGTTTGCTTTAAAAATTCAAGGTCTCTCAAACTGAGACACCATGGCACACGCCTTTAATCCCAGCACTTGGGAGGGAGAGGCAGGTGAATCTATGAGTTTGAGCTAGCCTGGTCTGTAGAGTGAGTTCTAGGACAGCCAGGGCTACACAGAGAAACCCTGTCTCAAATAAACAAATTAAATTAAATTAAGGTCATGTTCTTTTGTGCTTCCTTGTGAATTATGGGACTTATTTTCCTATATCTTTAGAGAAGGCTATTGGAATTTTGACTCTATAGATTGCTTTGGTCATGTGACTATTTTCATGTTACTGACTCTCCGCTCTGTGACACTGGGAAGTCCGCCTTCCACCAGTGCTCTTCCTCCTTTCTGCCCTTTAGTTCCTTGGTGTATTCATAAGTGTTCTGTTTTCTGAGACAGCTGTAAACAGGCTTCTGAGTCTTGCTGTTTTCCTCAGTCTGTTCATCACTGGAATATAGAAAAGACACTGTGTTTTGTGCGGTGATTTTATATTCAGCCGTTCTGCTAGAAGCATTATCAAATTTAAGCATTTCTGGTGGAGCCGTTGGGGCTTTTACATATGAAAACAAGGATGTTTTGACTTTTTCTCTCCTATTTGTATCCCATTTCTTTCTTTCTCTTGTCTTATTTGCTGTGGCTATGAAATCAGGTAATATGTATGTATTTAAGGAGGTGTAGCAAATAAACGACTCAAAATGACTGCTCTTATTGGGGCAGGGGGGGTTGTTAATGTGAATAAGAGAGAAAACAGCCACAGGCATCTGGAAAAGTCCAGAGCAGTCAAGTGGAGGCAATGCTTAACTCACCATCTTACCCTGGAAGTTGGTGAATTGTAATATCATTCAAGTATTTGCCTTAAATATTTTTATTATGTATTTTATCACAATTAATCTTTATCATAATTTTTCTCTTCTGGATTTGCCAGTGTTTTAATTTGCATTGTCTTTTATAAACAACTGATCAGTTTTATTTATATCTATAATTCCTTCCTTAATTATCATTTGTTTGTTTATTTATTTATGTGTGTGTGTGTGTGTGTGTGTGTGTGTGTGTGTGTATGTGTAGAGGCCAGAGATTGGCAGACGGTGTTTTCCTGGTCACTCTCAGCCCTATTTTTGTTGAAATAGGATCTTTCTCTGAAACCCAAACTCACCAATTCAGACTAGCTGTCCAGAGAGCCTCAGGGACCCTCTACCTCTGCCTCCCCAGCCCTGGGATTACAAACCCTACAGCCAAGTCCTGCTGTTTTACAAATATGGGCTCCCAGGTCCTCATATCTGTGAAGACAATACTTCACCAATTTCTGGATCTCCCCAGTTGTCTTCTAACATTTAAAATTTCCCTTTTAAAAGTTCATTTTGGAAGCTCTTGTGGTTTTGTGGGTTGAACTCTCATTTGTAATCCTGTTCATTTGCATTACCTGAGGATTTGATTTTCTTCTGAATCCTACCTCTCCCGCATTAACTGTGTTGAGAAGTGATGCGTCCATGCTCGCTGTTTGGTCCATGATGCATGCCCACACTCTCTGCTGGGTCCACCGTCCAACTCCACTTCTGAATCTGCTGGAGGGAATGCCTTTAGATTTCCCAAAAGTGACTGTCTTTTTACTGTTACGAGCTGGCTTTATTAAGTGTGGTTCAGGAGAATGGTCTTTGCAACATCTTTTTCTTAGTATTTTATTACAGATCAGCAGCAGACAATACAGAACACAATGTAGCAAAGCAGCCAGCTGACAAGTGTCAGCACTTGCTGACCTGTGCAGCTCCCTAGGAGCTACTGTCTCCACACAGGACACGGGTGGGACATTGCTCTTTTGTTCATTCCAGAGTGTTGTCATGGACTCACTATGGATGCGTAGGACTGTAATGACCACTAGCCCTACTGCGTGTTTCAAGTGGAACCAAACATTCTATCGGTCTGTAAGCTTTGTCCACATGGTGACCAGCTACTGCGGCTATGTTGATAACTGATTGCTTGCCATCTTGAGGGCGCCAACTGTCTCTTCTTTGTACATCTATGTCTTCATGTCACGGGTGAGAATGACTACTGGACTGTGTGACTTTTGGCCACCGGGCGTCTCCATAAGTGCTTACTACTACCTCTTTTGTTCATTTAATTGTAAACTCAAATCTTGGGTTCTCTGTCATTACACACTATTAGCGGCAGTAAGTGTCACACGCAGGGCCCAGAGCAGGTTGTCTAGGAGACTTGAGACTGTAAGGTCCTTTCTGCTCCCAGAATCCCTGTCCAGGGCGTATCCTCCACACCCATGCCTCTAAGGTGCTATAGCAAAGAAGAGAAGGGCCTGAGAGCTGGGGCCTAGAGGTGGGAGATTGTTACCAGCAATTTATTTTTCAGATACCACTGTGTGATTCTAACTGCAACAGGCTGGACCAGACCACAGGCCTAGGTTAGAGATGGTATTACCCCCAAGCCCAGAAAAGGAGCTTGGGGCCAAGTCCCAGGAAGCTGGGACTGGGGTTCTCCAGGGGATGTACTCAGCACCCCTAGCAAGGATAAATGGCCCATGCAAAATGTCATCTATCAGGGTGTGCTTTAGACTTGTGACCAGGACTTCTGTGAACTGGTCTTCAAACACCCCTGCCATGCACCAAAGTCCCACAATTCCCTAGGAGAGCATGTATCCAGCCATGCTGAGTTATGAAGACCGCAGGCCAGTGAGACAGCTCGGTAGGAGCTTCCCAGACCTGAGTTCTCTACAAAGAATAGCTCCGAGGATCTTACCAACCAGGGCAGGGAAGTCTAGGGGAGTCAGGGTGGCCAAAGTCATACCTAGGGTAGGTGCAATTGTCAAACCTGCCCCGTTGCATCCCTGAACACAAGTTTATCCCTGGGACACACCTAGGAACAGGGAATGCTGGCTCTGACACCAAGGAAGGGGAGGGGCTCAGTGCCCTGTGAGCAGCCAGGGCTGAGAACTTGAGCATTCATGTAAGCACAGAGACAGTCTTGGCTAGGTTTGTCAAGCACTTTATTGGAGTATAAGAGGTACAGTTGAAGGGAGCTGGGGTGGGAGGCTGAGAATCTACAAGAGCCAAGGTTGGCCTGAACACAGTAGAGGCCCGTCACAGACCCAGGGAAGTGGCTGAGGCCCATCTCTGAAGTGACTTCTGCTTTGCTACCCAGAGGTCTAGATTGTAGAGATACATATTTCTCACTGTGGCAAGGCCAGTAGGTTTCCTAGGAAAGTCATGGGTAGAAGCTGGGGGCTTCTCCCATAGTGAGGGAGGGGCAAGCAAGTGACAGTCAAGGCCTTCCAAGACCCTGGAGAGGCAATGGACACAGTTGCTGGCCACTAGCAGAGAAGCCAGGGGTCAGGTGAGAGGGAGCTCCCAAGTTCTGGGGTGACAGCAGAGCCCACTCAGCAGCTGGACTTCTGATCTGAGGACAGGACTCAGCAAGAGGGGCATGAGCAGGCAGGGCTGCAGATCAGGGACATGCTGGAGCAGGGCTTGCAGCAGCTGGGCTGGCAGGAGGAGGCACAGCAGGAGGAGCTGGGCACACAGCAGGCAGGTCTGCACACAGGGCGGCAGAGCAGGGACACGCTGGAGCAGGGCTTGCAGCAGACAGGCTTGCAGCACACAGGTACACAGCAGCATGAGGGCTGGCAGCAGGAGGAGCCATAACAGATGGGTGTGCAGCAGACAGGCTTGCAGCAAAGAGTCACACAGCAGGATGGCTGGCAGCATGAGGGTGCACAGGAAGACTGGCAGCAGGGGCTGGACCCACAGCTCACTGGGGTACAGACAAGAGTAATGCAGGGGGTTGGGGCACAGCAGTTGGGGACACAGCAGCTGGGCTGGTAGCAGCTGGGAGCACAGCAGCTAGGCTCACAGCAGCTCTCTGGGCAGTCATCCACCTGCCAGGAGGAGTTGGTGCAAGCGTCAGAGCAGACAGACATGGTGGAGGCGGCCATGGTGGGGTTGGATGGAAGAGGGCGAGGTGTGAGTGAGTGAGTGTGTTAGTGAGTGTGTGTGTGAGGTGCTGGGTCGTCAGCTTTTATCCCCCTGTGCTGTTGTCAGACTTGGCCTCCCTTCCTTGTTGGATCATTAAGACGTTTGTTTTTCTGGGATGTTGTCAGGCCTGTCTGTCTCCCACCAGTGGTGGTGCTGGGAGCAGTGGGACAGTTGGGTGAGGCTCTGTGAGCAGTGAGCTTGGGGTGTCATTGGTAAGACTTGTCCCAGTCATCTTATGGCTGCAGAGATGGCTGTGGCCCACTGCCAGGACCCTCATTCCCTCTTAAGAAGTGGATGTGATCAGCCCAGTACTTCTTCCATAGCCCAGCTCTGGGTGAGGACAGTTGTCACTTCATGACAGTGCTGAGACCAGACGGTGTGCAGTGACATTTGTAGGGCCACTGAATTGAGGGTACAGTGACTGGCCACACCTAGAGTGTCTCCCTATCTCCTGTACCTTTCTGTATTGTCCTGTGTAACTGTCCCCCCTGCCCTGTACCTGTGTCTATCCTATCTTTGTACTTGGAGATGCAGGATGATGAGCTTGGCCCCTCCATACTCAAGATGGCCAACGGTCCCTGGCTGGGCTCTGTTTCTAACCCCAAGGAGGTTCATGATCTGTCAAAACCCTGGAGCACTGCATGGGCCAGGAACCTGTGCCGCTCTCTGCCTCCCTGCTCAGTGTTCCCCAGACATCCCTTGTCCACTCCATCCTCCTCCAAAGCTGCTAACAATTCCTCGCCAGCCCTTCTGCTCACCAGCCACCCAGCCTTGCCACTCGAGCACTGGGATGCATGTCCATAGCAACTGCACTTAGGTCACATATGTACACTGAGCAGTGTAGAAGATGCACCTGGAAGTTAGGCTGTGTGTCATCTGAACCCAGTGCTGGCCAGTGTCGTTGGGAAGCAGCTGCTCCCAGGTCCTTCATTTCTAGCTCTCTGTCTTGCTACATGTATGCACACATGCACAGGTTTAGAGATTGTGTTCTGCGCGTCGCTAGCACTGATTTAGAAGATGTTGCTCAGTTGCTGCTGGGGTTCACACAGGTTCAGTTTTCCAGGAGTCTCTGGTCATCAGTGTGCCACACAGGAGCTGGTCTGATGTGCTCTGTCCGAAAGCTCCTTGTGCCACCCACATGGTAAACTCATTACCGTTGACCTCACACCAGCAGAAGAATTGTGGGTCCTCGGTGAACTGCCCTATAGTACTAATGTCACAGCACCATGGTGGCTCAGCACCACTCAAGGGCATTCCCAAGCAAGAGGACAGCACAACCTCAGAAAAACTGGCACCAAGGAGAACTGATGAGACTTGTTTTTAGGATGAGTCAAAACCAGAAGGCAGAGCCATATTATTATCTCATCCTACCAGCTGGGAGCATGTTCCTTAAGATTCCCTGCTCTGTGTATGTCCATGGATGGCTACAGAAAGATCACAAGCATATATGGGGATGTAAATAAATGTCAGAAGGTAAAAATTAAATGGAATTCACAAATTGTGAGGGTTGATTCTTTGCCTAGCCGTTCAACCACCCACTTATCCATCCATCCAGATGTCTATCCATCCACCACCAACCCACCCACCTACTTATCATCACCAACTCATCCATCCCATAATACACTCATCCATCCACTAACATACTCATCCATCCCCTAATACACTCATCCGTCCACTAACATACTTATCCATCCCCTAACACATTCATCCATCCCCTAACACACTCATCCGTCCACTAACACACTCATCCATCCCCTAACACACTCATCCGTCCACTAACATAGTCATCTGTCCACTAACACACTCATCCATCCACTAACCTACTCATTCACCCACCCACCCACCCATTTATCTATCCACCAACATATCCATCCTTGCCTCCCTCCCTCCCTCCCTCCCTCTCTCCTTCCTTCCCTCTGTCCGTCCGTCTGACCATCTGTCCATCCATCTACTCGCCCATGTCCCAGCCCAACCATCTACTTGCTCATTCATCGACCCACTCATGCATCCATCCATTCATTTATTTACTTATCCATCTTTCTGTTCATCCAACATTTATCATCTATCTATCCATTTGTGGATAAATATTGCATATAATATGTATGTGTACACATAAAAGCATCCCCATGTCTATAGTTTAACAACACAAACTGTACCAAACCTGACCCACCACATTTTTTTAAATCTTTTTTTTTTTTTCTTTTTTTTTTTTTTAATAATTTTTTTATTAAGAAAAGAAGAAAAAAAACATAAACAAAAAACAAGTTTCCACCTCCTCCCAGCCTCCCATCTCCCTCCCCCTCCTCCCACCCTTCTCCCCCTCCTCCCACCTTCTACCCCTCCCCCCACTCCTCTCCCCCTCCCTCTCCAGTCCACAGAGCAGTCCAGGTTCCCTGCCCTGTGGCAAGTCCTAGGTCCTCCCCCCTCCGTCCATATCTAGGAAGGTGAACATCCAAACTGGCTAGGCTTCCACAAAGCCAGCACATTAAGTAGGATCAAAACCCCGTGCCATTGTCCTTGGCGTCTCATCAGCCCTCATTGTTCGCCATGTTCAGAGAGTCTGGCTTTATCCCATGCTTTTTCAGTCACAGTCCAGCTGGCCTTGGTGAGCTCCCAGTAGATCAGCTCCACTGTCTCAGTGGGTGGGTGCACGCCTCGTGGTCCCGACTTCTTTGCTCATGTTCTCCCTCCTTCTGCTCCTCATTGGGACCTTGGGAGCTCAGTCCAGTGCTCCAGTGTGGGTCTCTGTCTCTGTCTCCATCCATCACCAGATGAAGGTTCTATGATGATATGCAAGATATTCGTCAGTATTGCTCTCGGATAGGGTCATTTCAGGTTCCCAGTCCTCAGCTACCCAAGGAACTAACTGGGAACCTCATGTTGGGCACTTGGGAGCCCCTCTAGGGTCAAATCTCTTGCTCACCCTAAAGTGGTTCCCTTAACTAAGAATTGTGGTTCCGTGCTCCCCTATCCACCTTTCCTTTATCCCAATTCTCCTGATTCCCCAAGTCCCCCCTCCTTCCCTTCTACCTTTTCTCTCCCCATCTCCCCTTACCCCCATCCCACCCCACCCCCAAAATCCTAATTTTCTCCCCGGCAATTGGGTCTACTTCCCTTAGCCAAGAGGATAACTATATGTTTTTCCTTGGGTTCACCTTCTTACTTAGCTTCTTTAGGTTCACCTATTGTAGACTCCGTGGCCCTAATTTATGGCTAGAAACCAATTATGAGCGAGTACATCCCATGTTCATCTTTTTGGGTCTGGGACACCTCACTCAGGATAGTGTTTTCTATTTCCATCCATTTGCCTGCAAAATTCGAGAAGTCATTGTTTTTTACCGCAGCGTAGTACTCTAGCGTGTATATATTCCATACTTTCTTCATCCATTCTTCCATTGAAGGGCATCTAGGTTGTTTCCAGGTTCTGGCTATTACAAATAATACTGCTATGAACATAGTTGAACAAATGCTTTTGTCATATGATAGAGCATCTCTTGGGTATATTCCCAGGAGTGGTATTGCTGGGTCCAGGGGTAAGTTGATCCCGAATTTCCTGAGAAACCGAAACACTGACTTCCACAGTGGTTGCACAAGATGGCATTCCCACCAGCAATGGATGAGGGTACCCGTTCCTCCACAGCCTCTCCAGCAAAGGTTATCCTTGGTGTTTTTGACTTTAGCCATTCTGACAGGTGTAAGATGATATCTCAAAGTTGTTTTGATTTGCATTTCCCTGATTGCTAAGGAAGTTGAGCACGACTTTAAGTGTCTTTTGGCCATTTGAACTTCCTCTGCTGAGAATTCTCTGTTCAGTTCAGTGCCCCATTTTTTAATTGGGTTAATTAGCATTTTAAAGTCTAGTTTCTTGAGTTCTCTATATATTTTGGAGATCAGACCTTTGTCTGTTGTGGGGTTGGTGAAGATCTTCTCCCAATCAGTAGGTTGCCTTTGTGTCTTATTGACTATGTCCTTTGCTTTACAGAAGCTTCTCAGTTTAAGTAGGTCCCATTTATTCAATGTTGCCCTTAATGTCTGTGCTTCTGGGGTTATACATAGGAAGCGATCTCCTGTGCCCAGCTCCTGTAGGGTACTTCCCACTTTCTCTTCTATCAGGTTCAGTGTGTTCGGGCTGATATTGAGGTCTTTAATCCATTTGGACTTGAGTTTTGTGCACGGTGATAGATAAGGGTCTATTTTCATTCTTCTACAAGATGACATCCAGTTGTGCCAGCACCATTTGTTGAAGATGCTTTCTTTCTTCCATTTTATACTTTTAGCTCCTTTATCGAAAATCAGGTGTTCATAGGTTTGTGGGATAAAATTCGGGTCTTCTATACGATTCCATTGGTCGACTTCTCTGTTTTTATGCCAGTACCACACTGTTTTCATTACTGTAGCTCTGTAATAGAGTTTGAAGTCAGGGATGGTAATGCCTCCAGAAGATCCTTTATTGTATAGGATTGTTTTGGCTATCCTGGGTTTTTTGTTTTTCCATATAAAGTTGATTATTGTCCTCTCCAGATCTGTGAAGAATTTTGATGGGATCTTGATGGGGATTGCATTGAATCTATAAATAGCCTTTGGTAGAATTGCCATTTTTACTATGTTGATCCTCCCAATCCAAGAGCAAGGGAGGTCCATCCATTTTTTGGTATCCTCTTCAATTTCTTTCTTCAATGCCTTAAAGTTCTTGTCAAATAGATCTTTCACTTCCTTGGTTAGATGTACCCCAAGATATTTTATGCTGTTTTTGGCTATTGTGAATGGTGAAGCTTCTCTGATTTCCCTCTCTGCTTCCATATCCTTTGTGTATAAGAGGGCGACTGATTTTTTGGAGTTGATCTTGTATCCTGCCACATTACTAAAGCTGTTTATCAGCTGTAGGAGTTCTTTGGTGGAGTTTTTGGGGTCGCTTATGTACACTATCATATCATCTGCAAATAACGAAAGTTTAACTTCT